AAAAAAAAAAAAAAAAAAAAAAAAAATACTTAAGAAAAATATATTTTTATGATTTAACTTAAAAAAAAAATATATATATCTATGTTAATTTTTTTTTCTTTTTTTTTTTTTCTTAGATTTATTTTGAAAAATTAATAAAAAAGCACTGTATTTTAATTAATAAATTTCTTCTTAAAAAAAGATTCACATGTTAGCATATTCACTAAATACATAAAAGATATATGTATACATATATATATTACAATTAATATATACATAAATGTAGATTTGCAAATAATTTTTTATTTTTTTTTTAAATTTTTTTTTTTAAAGGTATTAAACAAATTCTGAAAACATTTTAAAATAAAATTATGTATGAATGCACATAAAAATTTATATTTATTTTATTATTTATTTTCATATAGGTTTTTTTTTTTTTTTTATTTATTTATTTATTCATTTTTAATAAAATACATATTTGTAGCTAAATTACTACATAAGTTTTAAGAGTAATCTTCAAGTTAAAAAAAAAAAAAAAATATAAGTATTTTTCCTAAAAATTGTAAATTTCTCTTCGTTTTAATTATATAAAAAAAGAATATTTCTATTTAAAAATAAAATGAAATGTACATTAATAAATTTTATAATGTATTTAAATAAGAAAATTTTAAAATAATTAAAATGAATATTTATATATATATACATTTATATATTTAACAAAAAATATATGGAATTAAATAAATTTTAAATATTAAATATATTCATAATATTGAATAAAAAATATATTAAATTTTATATATATCATAACAAAAAAAAAAAAAAAAAAAATAAATAAATAAAAATAAAAATAAAATAAAATACTTGAAAGAAAGGCTCTTCGAGTAAATTCTGTAAAGAAGACATAGAATGACATAAAGAAGAATATGTATTAAAAAAAATAGATTAGAAATTTTTATAAAGAATTAATAAATAATATAGTTTAAAAAAAAAAAAATATATATATATATATATATATATAGAACAAAAACAAATATAATTTAAATTAAGAATTATCATTTAACCGTTTGATTGAGTTATCATTTTATAATAGTTCAATCTTTATAAAAAGTGACGATCAAGAAAATAGAAACAATATTATTATTAAAAAAAAAAAAAAAAAAAAAAAATAGAAATTGAATATGGAAGATAAAGTGGAAGATGTAGGTTTAAGTTTTGGTGATGTAGAAAAGGTAAATGATGAATCAAAACAATTATTTGACTTTGGTGAAAAAAAAAAAAAAAAAAAAAAAAAAGAAATAGTAGAAAAAGTAGAAGAAGTAATAATAGATGGAACAGGAAATGTTTTTGAAAGAGATGCAGTATATCCATATGAAGAATTATTACATAGAATTCAAAATTTAATAAATAAGCATAACATAGATTTATGTATATCAAAAAAATATACAATAAAACCTCCACAAGTAGTTAGAGTAGGTTCAAAAAAAGTTGCCTGGATTAATTTTAAAGATATATGTACAATTATGAATAGAAACGAAGAACATGTTTTTCATTTTGTTCTGGCTGAGTTAGGAACAGAAGGATCTATAGCAGGAGAAGGACAACTAGTATTAAAAGGAAAATATGGACCAAAACATATTGAAGCATTATTAAGAAAATATATAACAGAATATGTAACATGCCAAATGTGTAAAAGTCCAAATACTATTATGGAAAAGGATAGTAGAACTAGACTTTTTCATCAACATTGTAATGCTTGTGGAGCAAAAAGGTAACATATTTATTTTAAATATACATAATTATATACATAATTATATACATAATTATATACATAATTATATACATAATTATATACCTAATTATATACCTAATTATATACCTAATTATATATATATTATCTGTTCATATATTTTATTTTTATTTAGATCTGTTACAACTATCAAAAGTGGTTTCCATGCTTTAGGAAGAGGAGAAAGAAGAAAAGCAAAACATACTAATTAAGATTAAAAAAATTAAAAACTAAAAGTATTAAAAAAATAAAAAAAATTATATAATTATTTAAAAAAAAGAAAATATAAAAATCTTAAATATTCTTTAAATGATTACAAAAAAAAAAAAAAAAAAAAAAAAAAGACTATTTTTTGTTTTTTTAATTACAATGAAATTTAAAGTTTGTATTAAGTTTTAATTTAGAAAAAATTTTTTAAATATCTATATATATATACATAAACTTGTACAATTAAAATAAATAAAATTATAATAAAAAAAATGCAAAACAAAACTATTTTATTTAAATAAATTAATATATTGTTCTTTACCAATTTAATTCAATTTAATGTTATTTCATTATATATTAAGATCTACTAATGAAGAATAAAATAACAAAAAATATACTTTTATGCATATTTTTTTATTCTGAATACTATAACACTATCAGTAAAACTTAATTTTTTTTTTTTTTTTTTATGTATTCATTTATTTAAAAAGTAAAAATATCTTATTATTATTAAGTCATATATTGCATACAAAAATAGAAAAAAAAAAAAAAATTTTGCATTTTATATTTTAAAGATAACTAAATCAAATACTTTTTCAAAAATATATAATATTGCTTTAAATATTCGAATATTATACTTAAATACTTTTTTTAATAAGTTAAATCAAATTTATAATTTTATATTAGATATGAAACTATATATCTTATAGAAAGTATTATCTCTATTATTATTGTGATATATATGGAATTCCATGTATTTTTAACAGATTTTTAATAGCTAATCCTTATTTAATGAATATTGTGTATTTTTAACAATTAACTCATTACCTATAAATATTAAAAAGAAATAAAAAATTTGCATAAAAATATGTAATAAAATTAGTATATTTTAAAAATGAAATAAAGACTTTTTTTTTTTTTATAACTTTTATATAATATATAGGTTGATAATTTTGTTTTCCCAGTAAAATCTGCATAATCATAAACACTTGCATTATTCTAAAATAAAGAAAAAAAAGTATAATATAAAAGTAATAAATAAAATTTCTATTAATGACAATCTATTATATATATGTATATTTTTAAAAATTTAATAAAATATGAAAATTTACATTGTCTTTTATTGAAACGTCAGCACCATTTTCTATTAACAGCTTAACAATCTAATGAAAAATACTAATAGCAAAATTTAATTATAGAAATAAAAATAAACATGAAAAATAAAGAAAAATAAAATATTACAAATACTTATACATATATTTATTTAATAGATACAAATTTTAATATTCTATATATAATATAAAAAAAAAAAAACTATTACATCATAATGCCTATTTATTATAGCGTAAAATATAGGAGTTTGTCCATCCTAAAATAAAGAAAAAAAAATTAAGAATATATATTATTACTTTCTTTTTATTTATTTTTACTTTTCCATTTATAGAATGTTATTTTTGATTGTATTTTTTTTTTTTTTTTTTTTTTTATTAACATTATCTTTTATATTTATATTTGCATTATTTTCAAGAAGGAATTTTGCTAAACTCAAATGCCCATGCTTAACACAAATATGCAATGGAGATATTCCGTTAATATCTTTATGATTTATGTTACTTCCTTTTTTCAAAATTATTTTTGCCATTTTTAGGCTACCATTTCTACAACTATACCAAAAGGCTGTCCTATTATGCTGATACAATTTGAAATAAAAAAAAAAAAAATTTCTTTATATCTAGAACTTTTGAGCCCTTAAAAGGCTTTTTGTGATAAAATTTTTATCCATTTTTGTAATTAATTTTTCATATTTATTATATTATATTTGTTGTTTTCATTATATTTACATTAATGTATTATATTTTAAAATTCATATATATTTTTTGTTATAATTACTGGAGGTTGAATATAATCACCTAAAGGAATTTGCAATTTAGACAAAGAAACGACATCCTCATAAATTCCTATGAAAATATAACAATATATGTAAATAAAATTAAAAAGAAAAAGAAAAAGAAAAAGAAAATTACAAAGTAAAAGTAACAATATAAAAATATTCATATAAATCACTATTAAATAATGAAAAACAAAAAAAATATTACCTTTTCTGGCAGCTATTAATAATTTTACTCTCTCTTCCTAGAAAAAATGAAATATCATTTTAAAGATTTCTAGGTAAAATAAATAATAAGGAATGGGATTTATCTAAATATATTATTTTTTAACAGTTGCCATGATATTTAAACATTTTTTATTCTCAAATAATGGAAATGTTTTCTAAATAATTATTTTAAATTTATTTTTTTCTACAAATTTTTTTTTTTTTTTTTTTTTTATTTTGAGATTCTGATTCACATAGTGATTTTTATTAACTTAAAAAAATTTACGAAAATAAATTTATATATTTATTTTTTTTTTTTGAATAGACATACACCTAATGGATATAGTATTTTAAATTACAATAATTTTTAATTCTTTATAGTGTTCAAAATATCATATATATATTTATATTCACATTATTTCTAAATGTCTCTAAAAGAGCATAAAAATAATAAAATAAAATTATTAAAATATAATGGAGAATCAATAAATTCATTGGAAAATTACTCAGGAATAGGAACTGTAATATTTTATCCTCATAAAAATATGAAGAAAAGAGAAAAATATTATGGGAATTTATTACAAGGAAGAAAACATGGATATGGTAACTAATTTTTATTTTTTATTAAAATTAAAAATATATTTATATATGAGTAGTTAATTTCTTCTAACTATTTATTACTGTATTACATCTTTTTTTTCCAAAGGAGAATATAAATATTACAATGGAGACATATATCAAGGATTTTATGAACATGATAAAAAAAACGGAATAGGCACTTATTTTTATAACAACACTTCTAAAGAAAAAAAGGAAAAAAAGAAATCAAAAAAGCATGAAGATATAGAAGAAAACGAAGACGAAAGTGAAGAAGATAAAGATAACAAGAAAGAAAATTCAGATGAAGAAAAAGATTACAGCGAAAATGAAAACGATAGTAAAGATGACGATGAAGATGAAAACGAAAGTGAAAGTGAAGATAAGGATAAAGATAAAGACGAGAAAGGTGAAGATGAGGAAAGTGAGAGTAATGAAGATGAAGACGAAAAGAGTGAAGGTAAAAATGACGAGGATGATGATGATGATGAAGAGGGAGAGATTGATGAAGATGAAGATGAAGATGATGATGAAGATGAAGATGATGAAGATGATGAAGATGATGATGAAGATGATGAAGATGATGAAGATGATGATGATGATGAGGATGATGAAGAAGACGAAGAAGATGATGATGACAAAGATGAAGAAGATGATGATGACAAAGATGATGAAGATGATAAAGATGACAAAGATGATGAAGATGATAAAGATGACGAAGATGATGAAGATGAGAATGAGGGTAACAAAAGTAATGGAGATAATGATGGTGATAGTAAAGGTATGAAAGATAATGAAAAAACTGAAGATGAATATATGGAGATATATAATAATGACGATGAAAATTATAAAGATAGTGATGAAAATGAGAATCAAAAAAATAAAGAGTATTATAAAAAAAAAAAAATTTCTAAAAAGTTGCTGAAATTAATGAAAAATTTAAATGAAACCAAAGGAAAAAAACACATTATTAATCCTTTTAAAGGTAATTCTATAAAAAATATTTTAGTGTATATATATATTTAGTATTAACAAATTTTTTAAAATTTTCATTTATAGAAAAAAGAAATTATTATTATGGTAATTATTTTAATGGATTAAAGCATAATAATGGAATGATGTTATATGCAAATGAAGACATATATGTGGGGAATTGGAAATTTGGAAAAAAAAATGGATGGGGTAAATATTTTCTATCTATATTTCATTGTATATTTTGAAATATTATTTTTATAGCTATCCAAATATATATAATTTTAATTTATACAATTTTTAATAATTTACTAACACCTCATTTAGGGAAATATATATATAAAAAATGTAAAAGTATATTAGAGGGATATTGGGTAGATGGATATATATCATATGGAAAATGGATATTGCCAAATGGTTATTTTATTTATTTATTTATTTTTTTTTTTATAGGAGAATCTTCCTGTCTTACATATTATATTTAACATTTTTATATAATTCATTTTTTTTCACAATTTAGGAACATATTTTGTTGGTAACTTTAAGGAAAATAAACCCATTGGTGATGGTGTATGGGTATTTAATGACAAAACTCAATTGAATGTTTTTTATGATCAAATTGAACTAGTAATTTTTTTATCTCATTAATTTGTTATGTTTAATTTTTATACTTTTTATTGTGTATAATTTTTTATTCTTTATGAATGAGCATAGTTATCCATTAATTAGTTTTTTATTAAAAAAAAAATAAAAGTATATAAATCTAATATTTTTACTAATATATATATATTTTAATTACAGAAATCTAAAAAAAAGAAAAATAAAAAAGGTGAAAAATGCTCCAATATTGTATTAAAATATAAACCACTATATATTACTTCAACCAGAGAAACATGATAAAAAAAAAAAATAAGACAAATTAATCCTTTTTTTTACTGTCTATATAAATAAAAATGATAAAAAAAGTAAAATTAATGTTTTAAAAATATTACAAAAATAAAAGTATATATTATATAATTTATAAAATAAAAAAGAACAAATTGAATAAAGTTTTTATTCTTAAAAATTATACATAAAAAAGATAAAATTGAAATTTAAAAAACGATTTATAAAGTATTATTAAATTTCATTATTTTATATTTAAATACCTTTAGTTTCTAATTGTTGATCATTTTTATTTTTTTTACTTTTTTTATTTTTTATATATTCATAATATATCCTGAAATATTTTAAATAAAAAATTTACAAATAAAATTATAATTAAGTAGAAAAATATTTTAATATATTGCCAATATAGTTTATATATATATATATATATTACCAGTTTATACTTATAGCAAAACCTATAAGACAAAATAAAAATCCATAATACATACGTAGTAGAATATTATCATTATAATATGTACTTTTTTCATCAAAGGAATATATATAATGCAAAACTGTCATTAAAATTATGATTATTGAAACATTAACTATTTTAAAATATTTTTCAATACTAGATCCGAAAATTTTATTTAGTAGCATATTACAATAATTAACTGAAGAATTATCCATTTTTTATTTTTTTTTCTAATAATAAATTTTCTTTTTGTATATAATAAATATTCACTTATATTTATAACTTTAAAAAAGAAACTTAAAATATTTCAAAAAAATAATGATTTTTATTCATTGATATTAAATTTTTTATATGAGTAAAGAATTCATATTTTAATTTATTTGAAATAAGGAATATATTTAAGATTTAAAATTTGTTAGTTTAAAAATAATTAAGGTTTTATAAATTTATAAATTTCTTAAGCAGTTTACATATATTTTTGGTACATAAATTCATTTTTATTCTTGCTATAATTTTTTTATTAAAATTATATTTTTTTATAAATGCATTAATATTTCCTTTTTATTTATTTTCATACATATATCTTTTTAAATAAATATTCATTAAAAAAATTTTTTTTATATATATAAAATTAATTAATACCTTTAAAAAATTAAAAATTGATTTTATATTATATTATAAAGACACTTTATTGAGGTTTAACAATAAAAAATTAATGTTAAATATACTTTTAATTATATGGAAAATGTAGTAATTCTATGTATACAAGTTTTACACATAATTTATTTTTATATAAAATATTTTATAAGGAAATTTTCATTTTTCAAATTTTATTAATAATTAAAACAGCAAATTATGTACAAAAGAATTAAATTTATGTAATGAATATAGTTAAAAATATATAAAAATTTTCAAATATTCACGAGAAATACAGGTGAAAATATTTTTTAAAATAGATAAAATTTCCTTATGGTTTGTATAATTCTATGATAAAATATAGGACATACAAAATGTTTAACTTTTAAAAATTAAAATTTTAATGTCAGTTATGCGCTTTTATTTTATATGTTTTGTATTATATTTTTATTTGTGCATTATTAATATAATTAAAATTATAAAAAGAAAAGATTTAAAATGCTTAAATATATATAAACATTGTATTTTTAATACCTAAATTTTTTTTTATCATTGTTTAAAATTGTAGTTTTTATATTAATTATCTTAATTATGAATAGTATATTTTGTTTCTATATAAGATATTATTAAAATAAAATTGTAAAAAAAAAGTTTAACATATAATATATTTCATGTTTCGTTGAATAAAAAAGAAAACATTAAACAAGTTTTCTATTAAAATATAATAAATAATATAATCCTTTTTAATTAAAATATAAATGAAGTATTCCAATTGCTTTTATCATTATTTTTAAAAAGTGCGTCCAATAAATAAATATAGAATTGTCTTATATTCATTGTTTGAAAAGTGTTTTCACTAGAATTTATATAAATAATATTATGTCTTGCATTTATAATTACATTTGTTTCATTTATTAGCAACGAGACCAAATTATTTTCGCCTTGAAATTTATCTAATGCTTGTATATTGTTTTCATTGCTAGCATAATTACTTTCCAGAATATCTTTTGAACAATTACCTATTTCAGATAGATTTATGAGAGATTTATCATCGTTTAAATCAAATTGACAAAAATAATTTGCTGTTCAAAAAAAAAAAAAAAAAAAAAAAATTAAATTAAGCTTAATTCAAAATTCTAATAATAATTAAAAATTTGATGTATATTAATGAAAAAGAAGAAATTTATATTTAATCATTACAAAAAAAAAAAATAGTGTTAATTTATAATGATATATTTTATATAATTAAAATTTTTTTTATTTTTACAGCATTTAGAAAAATGATTTATCTCTGACTTTTTTCTAAATCTCTTAAAAAAGTTGAAAGAAAAAAATTTTTTTTTCTTTAATATTTTCATATTTTCTACATACTAACGTAACTGTAACATTTAAAAAATCTGAAATGTAATAAACATAATAAAGAATAAAATTCTTTATTAATATAGATATATTAATAATAATTAAAAAATAATTTTGAATATATATAGCTTTTTTAGATAAGCTAAATCACATTTCAACAACTTTACATATATATAAGACAAAAGAAACAGATGAAATAGAAATAAAATATTCATCTAAATTTTATGATTAACGAATATTTCGAATATGAAAATGAAATTGAAAATTAAAACAATAAACATTATAATGTAAATAATAAAGTTATTCCTATGAAATTTCATAAAAAATTAATAAAATAAATGAATATTGCAAAGCAATAATTAATAGACATAAATACCTTATAAAAATATGTTAATGTTCATTAAATTAATTTAAAATTTTTATATTTAAAAATATAATATATTCTAAAAATATAATTTTATAAATATATAATTTTTATACTAATGATCATATATAAAATTTTATAATCGAAATTTCTTAGGTTTTGATTGAATTTTTTGTGTTTAGGTAGTTTAAGTATGTATTACATTATGTCTGGTGTTAATTAAAATATTTTAAATGAATATGAAAATTGAAAGGAAAAAAAATAAAGAAAAAATAAAAATAAAAATCTTTATGTAATTTTAAAATTGTTAATAAGAAAAACAAAAAATTTTCCCTATTATGAATGAAATTGTAATTGCTGTTTTATTTTAAATGTACGATATGAATATTAAATATTAATAACTTAAAATACATTTAAAAAAAAATGAATAAAATATTTAATTTCAATTTTTGAAAAAGAATTCTACACTAATATATATTACATTTGGCTTATATAAAGTATAAATATAAAATTAAGTACTCTTTTAGACATCTTTGAAATTATTAAAAAAAAAATTATATAATCTACATTACAAATATTTTTAATTTTTTTTTTTTTTTTTTTTTTGTTCATAAAAATAGTAATATTTTTATTATGTGTTAATATTTTTTTAAGTAAAATTAAAAAAAAGAGCTAGATTAAAAAAAAAAAATTCATTGAACTTAAACACTTCTATCATTCATTTAAATAAAATACTATTACCCAATATGCTTTTTTGTAAATAAAAATAATTAGAAAAAATTACTGTATATATAAATTTTAAACAAAGTTCTATGATAAAAAATTACTTTTTAATTATTTTTAGGTTAAAAGAATAAATTTTAAATAAATTATGGTTTCATAAAATTTTAATATTTTTAAATACAAATCCTTGTTTACTGTTTATACTAGAATTTTTTTTTTTTTTTATTATGAACTACTGAAAGTATTAGTATAAAACATTTATTAATAGAAGTAGCTATTTTGTTATATAATTTTATATAATTTTGTAATTCTTTAAAAAATCGCTTTACATTTATCACTAAATAATATTACAAAAAAATATAAAACCTTTATGTATTTAGTTTAAAATATATATATACAATGAAAAATTATAGGTTTTCTTTTTATATTTCCTTTTTTTTCTGTTTAGACACATTTTACCAAAAAAATTATGATAATTTATAAAAAGGAAAAGAAAAGTAATTTGTTTATAATTACAATAAAAATATATAAGAAATAAAAAAATTTAATAAAAGTTGTTTCATATTATTTTTATTTAAAAAAAAAAAAAAAATATAATGTACATTGTAAATAATATTAGGATATAATAGTCTAAAAAACTCTATAAAAATAAACAGTTTAATGGTATTTATGATTTTAATAAAAGAGAGGGAAGAAAATTATATATGACTTGTATAAATATTTATGTTAATATGATTTATGATGTGTTTATAATTCACATATAATATTTTCTTATTTTTTTCATTTAAAGAATATATTTAGACATATATGATATATGTTAATATATAAATGTATATGAAATAAGAAAACCTTTGCATTCTATGAAAAAAATCGAATCTCAAATAGTTTTAAAAACTACGTCAAAACAAAAATATATATATATATATATATATGAATTATTTCTAATGATACATCATTTACAATGATTAGAATGAAACAATTCTTAAATTAAAAATATTTATTTCAATATACCTTTAAAAATAATAGGATTCTACAAAAAAAAAAAAAAAAAATATTCAGGGTATGAATCAACCGAAAAATTTTATACTGAATGATAAGAAAAAGATAAATTTAATTAAATATTTTAGGCAGACTTATTTTATTAAAAAATGGATTTTTATATATTCAAATAACTTCCTTGTAGAAAAGAATAAAAGTATTAATTTTTAAAAGAATTCATTGTTTTTTAGGAATATGTACATAAGATTATATAAATTTTAAATGTTCATTAATGTTACAATAACTTCTAATATCTAATCCTCTTAATTTATGAAAATATATATACTTTTTTTAATGAATTAATATCAGTTCATTTTTTAATAGAATGATTATGAATAAAAAAAAAAGGAAAAAAAAAATATGAAATAAAATATATGTATATATTTTTCATATTTTCATCTTTTGTGATTTTTTATTTTTATTTATTTATTAATTTTTTTTTTTTTTTTTTTTTTTTTTTTTAATAAAATGAAAG